AGTGAAGAGATTGCGATGTAAAGGTGTGTTAAGAGAGGAATGAGGGTTAAAAGAGATGGCACAATGCAGCATCATCCGTGCAAGCGATGGCCGAGTGGTACCATCGCTGGGCTGTGAATCCAGAAACCCAGATAATGCTCCAGGGACCTGGGTTCGAATCCCGCCACGGCAGATGGTGGAATTTGAATTCCACAAAATATCTGGAATTAAGAATCCGATGATGACCATGAATCCATTGCCGATTGTCAGGGGAAAAACCCCATTCTGTTCACTAATGCCCTTTCGGGAAGGAAACTGCCATCCTTACCTGGTCTGGCCTACATGTGACTCCAGACCCACAGCAATGTGGTTGGCTCTTAACTGCCCTCTGGGCTATTAGGGATGGGCACTAAATGCTGTCTAGCCAGCAACGCCCTCATCCTGTGAATAAGTTAAAAAAATAATAACAATAAGATCCGAAGTTCAGCAGTGTGTACCATTTACAAGATGCGCTGCAGGATTTCACCAAAGATCCTCAGACAGCACCTTCCAAACCCACAACCACTTCCATCTGGAAGGACAAGGGCAGCAGATACACGGGAACACCATCCCCTCTGAGCCACTCACTATCCTGACTTGGAAATATATCACCATTCCTTCACTGTGGCTGGGTCAAGATCCTGGAATTCCTTCCCTAAGGACATCATGGGTCCACCCACAGCGCAGGAACTGCAGCGGTTTGAGAAGGCAACAAGGGACGGGCAATAAATGCTGGGCCCATGAGTCAATAAAATGTTGAGGAACATAAAGTCAAAGCCTAACATGGGCCCGAATGTGAAGTAAGAACGAGTTGGCCAGGGTAGATGTTGTGGAAAGATTTCTGTTGCTGGGTGAGCCAAGGCCTCAGGGTTGTTATAAGTGTCAGAGAATCACCATGAAAACAAATCCAGTGGGAATGCTGCAGCAATGTGATCATCCAGAGAGTGGGGAGAAGGAGGAACTCACTCCCTTGGTCGGGGATTGTGAGTGAATCATGTCGATGTCTTTCAGAGGGAGCTGGGCATTGACAGGGAAAGGGACTGGAAGACAACCCTTTCGTCCCAGGAACTGACTGGGCGATCCTTCTCTGAACTGTCTCTCTCCCTGAAGCCTGAGGCGAAACCTGTGCGGAGAGCTCATCGTGTGGGCCTTACCACCAATGGGTGTGACTCTTTCCCGACTCCGTCGCTCTTGCGTGACGAGCCTGTCACAAAGCAAGGCAGCCAGTGTCTGAAATCACATGAATGCTGAGCTCGAACACGAGTGCTGCAACATGCATCCACCCTCGAGGGACACTGACCAGGGGCCAAAGAAACCCCACTCATCGTCCAGGGGCAGTGACAAATCCCATAGAGCCCACTGGGCAGGGAACTGGACAGTCTGGAGATCAGACATTGGGTAGGGGACTGAGCATGAACCAGGAGCTCCAACTGACAGAGAGCTAAACAAGCACCCCCTCTTACTGAACAGGAACGTTGATTTAGTTTCTCCAACCCTTTCACCGTCCGAAGTTGGACCAATCCTCAATACTCTTGTGGAATTCATGCCTTCTGTCACCCTCAATACTCAACCATTGGGTATGGTCCATATGGATGACCAATGTCCTCCAGGGAAGGAAACCTGCCATCCTTACCCAGTCTGGTTCTACACGTGACTCCAGACTCACAGCAATGTGGTTCACTCGGTACTGCCTCCCCAACCCCTGCAACGACCTTGGCAAGTCACCCCAGGCCAGGGCAACTGAGGATGGGAAACAAATGTTGTCCTAGTCAGTGATGCTCCCAGTCGGTTGAGACACCTCTCCACGTTGAGGGGGGGAAAACAGCTTCAGAAGGCTGAGATAACAAGGTGTGGAGCTGGATGAACACAGCAGGCCAAGCAGCATCAGAGGAGCAGGAAAGCTAACGTTTCAGGTCGAGACTCTTCTTCAGAAGGCTGTACCTTGGTGACGCAGCAGATGGGAATTTTGAGTGCAGCCCAGAGCCCCAGGCTACAGCAAGCCGAACGGATCTCGTCAGGACTCTGGAATCAATGAGCTCACTTGCCACTGAATTCCTCAGTAAGTAGCTTCAGGGCGAAAAATGCACAGAGAGAGAGAGAAAGAGACGCCCGCCCAGGAATGCAGCTTCCGTGTTACTGAAAGGTGAGGCCCAGCCCAAACTGACTCTCCCTTTAACTTTCACCTCTCACAGCTTGAGGGTGGGAGTCAGCGAGGGACGGGAGGGAGTCACGGGGCAGCAGAGATGGGGAGCGGGCTGGGAGCAGGAGAGGTGGGATTCCGCAGCAGGAGCAGTGATGGGATTGGAAGCGCTCACTCTCTTTCTCTGCCTGACGCTCCACACAGATGCCGCCGGAGTTTCTCCAGCTTTCCTTCTCGCTGCATCGTCAGCGTTTTGCTGTCGCTCGTGCCCCTTGCACAAGAGAGCAGACTGTCCTTTCTCCCCTGACCTTCCCCCTCCAGGGGTCTCAGTCTGAGGATTCGGGGTAGACCATTTGGGATGGAGATGAGGAGACATTTCTTCACCCAAAGAGCGGGGAGCCTGTGGAATTCATTACCACAGGGAAGTAGTTGATGCCAAAACATTGAATATAATCAAGGGGCAACTAGATATCGCACTTGGGGGCGAATGGGATCAGAGGTTATGGAGAGAAGGCAGGATTAGGCTATTGAGTTGAGATTAGGCTATTGATCAGCCATGATCATGAAGAATGGTGGAGCAGGCTCGAAGGGCAGAATGGCCTCCCTCCTGCTCCACTCGTCTGTTTCTATGTATCTGACTATTCGGTGGGGGTGGGGGTTGGTTGGTTGGTGGAGGAGAAGGGTGCTCCTGCCTTGCTCTGTTACACAAGGAGCTCCCCGCAGTGTCTGACCAGACAGGAGTTGTACTCTGCCTGTACAACTGCCTGTTGGCACACAGCGTTTTTGTGGCAGGGTAACTGCAGAGCTGTCAGCTGACAGGGTAACTAACCTTAACCATTCATTGGCATAGCCTGGGCTCCATGTGACTCCAGTCCCACAGCCGGGGGGGCCTGACTCGCTGAAGTGGCCGAGCCAGTGGATCGAACCCAGGGCTGGAGCCCGATGGGAAGGTGGATGGTCGTAACGGTGGGGTGAAGCATTCCATTCTAGCCAATGCCCACACATCCTGATGACGATGGTAAACCTTTGAGGTTGGTGTTTCATTTATAGAGACTGGGAGGCAGTAAGGAGCAAGGGCAGGGGGTAGTGGGCTGGGGGGGTCAAGTTGTACATTTCCAGGCACACACGGGTGTTGACCCCGTGTCCCGAACAGTGAACACTTCTCCCAGTCCATCAGCGTCACACACCATGACAATATCAGTACGTCTCAGAGCTGCCAACACTCTCTATCATCCTAACCAGCCTCTTCTTACACAGAACGGAGAACTGCACAGCCCAGGAACAGGTCCTTCGGCCCACAATGTTGTGCTGAATGTGAAGCCAAATTAAACTAATCCCTTCTGCCCACCCTTGGTCCCTATACCTTCATTCCTCGCATTTTGATGTGCTTGTATAGAAGTCCTTTAAAAGCCCCTATTGTATCTGCCCCTACCACCACCCCCCAGCAGTGTGTTCCAGATTCCTACAACTCTCTATGTAAAAAACTTGCCCCTCACGTCTCCTTTAAACTTTCTCCCTCTCACCTTAAATGCATGCTGTCTAGTATTAGACATTTCAATTCTGGGCAAAAAGATTCTGACTGTCAATGCGATCTGTGCATCTCATCATTTTATAGACTTCTATCAAGTCTCCCCTCAGCCTGCACCGCTCCAGAGAAAACAACCCGAGTTTCTCTCGCCTCTCCTTATAGCTCAAACCCTCTAATCCAGGCAGCATCCTGGTAAAGGGGTTAAAATTGTTTCAGAGATGGTAGGAACTGCATATGCTGGAGAATCTGAGATAACAAGGTGTAGAGCTGGATGAACACAGCAGGCCAAGCAGCATCAGAGGAGCAGGAAGGTTGATGTTTCGGGCCGAGACCCTTCTTCAGAAAAAGAAAAAGCATCCTGGTAAACCTCTTCTGCACCCTCTCCAAAGCCTCCACATCCTTCCTGTAATGTGGCGACCAGAATTGAATGCCATACTCTAATTGTGGCTGAACCAAAGTCTTATAAAGCTGCAACATGGCATGACAAAAACAGAGGGAATAGAAGCAGGAGTAGGCCATTCTGCCTCATGTCTGCCCCACCATGTAACAGGATCATGGCTGATGGTACCTCTTTGGTACCAGGAACTCATACCCCTCAACTCCCTGATGTTTCAGAAATCAGCATCTTCTTTTGAAATACTTACATTGATCTAGCCTCCACAACTGTCTGGGTCAGAGGATTCCTGATGTTCACAGCCCCCTGGGACAAGAAATTCCTTTGCCTCTCCGTTTTAAATGAGAGTTCCCCCTAATCCTGCTGCAGTGTCCCCTAGTTCAAGGCTCCCCCACTGGGTGGAAAAAATCTTATTAATATCTACCCTGTCAGAAACCCCCTCAGAATCTTACGTTTCTCAACAAGATTCCTCTGAACCCGAATGAATAAAGGCTGAAATGAGTTAGTCCTCGTGATAAGTCAACCCCTTCAGCCCAGGAATCTCTGGAGTGAATCTCTTTTGAGCTGTGTCCAATGTCAGTCCATCCTTTCTTAAACTCGGGACCTGAACTGGACTCAGGCGTAGCCTCGCCAACGCTTTGTCCTGTTTGGACAAGATGACATGGGGTCTCTTAAGTGCCGTGGTGAAGCGAAGGCTGGAGCTTGAGGGGTGCACAGCAAGATTCCACAAACATGGGTCAGTCAGTGGCACAATAATTCTGCGCCTCGAGAGCAAGTTGGGGCGGGGGGCGGTGGGTCTCTGATTTTTGTATCCAGGGGCCAGGGAAGCATGAGCAGACCCAGGGATCCCACTCTCCACTTGTTTTATTTTGAACAGAGCACAGCTTGGAACACAATATCAGGCGACAGATACGTGCGGATTTAAATAAAAAAAAATTTTATTTCACATCTCAGAAGTTTAAATAGTTTAACATATAATTTTGAGTTCTTCTCTGGTCCTTAAATATTCAAATAAATCCCACAGATACTTCTTGATAGCTTTAAATTACATTCTGTCACTCTCAGAGAGATGGCTTCACTTCAAGACTTCCATAAATTAATTGACAAAAAAAAAACGAACAAGCAACAGAATCCGGCAATAATACATAACGCTTTCCTTTCCGCTGTGTGCTCGGAATCGCAGTTGAGGCAGGAATGGTGTGGACAGGTGCGTGTCCCAGTGCTCAGGCACAGCAGAGGGACAGGGAGAGGGAGGTGGGCCGAGGTCAGACGCGGCCTGTACCTGGTGTTGAGCAGCTTCCTTCATACTCCTGTCCGATACACAAAGAGAGATCCGTTCAGATCGACACCGCGATTGGTTAATGTGACCACGACAGACCGGATCCGGGCTCTTCCCGCTGGGAATGTGACTCTGAGAGATCGAGTCCGGACTCTCCCGCTGGGAATGTGACCCAGATAGACCGGGTCCGGGCTCTCCCGCTGGGAATGTGACCCAGATAGACAGGGTCCGGACACTCCCGCTGGGAATGTGACCCAGATAGACCGGGTCCGGGCTCTCCCGCTGGGAATGTGACCCAGATAGACATGGTCCGGACTCTCCCGCTGGGAATGTGACCCTGGGAGACTGGATCCGGGCTCTCCCGCTGGGAACGTGACCCTGACAGACTGGATCTAGACTCTCCCGCTGGGAATGTGACCCAGATAGACAGGGTCCGGACAC